TTGGGGGGGGAGCCAGTCCGGCCCGGAAAATTACGGGCCAAAAGCGGGTTCAGGCCGGGCCAGCCCGACCCGGTCCGTAAATCCGATTAAAATATAAATTATAAATATAAATATATATGTATATAGGTAAATATATAATTACGTATATATATTCGCACATATTTAATCATATATATATATATATTTATTCAATCTTTTATATATATAAATATTTATAATGTATATACATGTATAAAAAATATACAAATATTATATAATATAGAAAGTTCTAAAAAAATTAAAAACTTGTTTAATACTAAATAATTTAGAATATAATATTTTCGTAAATGATATAATCAAAATTATAATACTATTAGTTTCAAATAATTATTCCAAATGAAAAATATAATAATTTATCATTTTTAAAAATTTATTATCATATAAAATTAAAAAAACTTAAATTTAAATTTATATTAAATCAAAATACATAACTTTGTAATCTATTTTTTTTATCTTTTTATTATCACGAAATGTATTAAAATTTTTTCTATTTTAATTATTTTAATTTGTTTATATATTTTTTAAAAAAAATTCAAGCCCGAAGCCCGGCCCGAACCCGAAAAAATCCATAGGACCGGGTTCCAGGCCGAAGATTTTTGGCCCGTTGGTTTTTCGGGCCGACCCGGCCCGGCCCGTAAATATCCGGGCTTGTGTCGAACTCGGGCCGGGTCGGCCCGACCGGTCATTTTGACACCCCTAATAATAGAACAAAACGGATACTCTGTTTCAGGGAGAAGTGTTTGACTTTTACAGGGATAGTCAAAGGGCTAGACGTTCACCCTTAATGGGCCTCTTCACAATTATCCTTGAGGCCCGTAATGACCAAACCGGACATAACAAACCGAGTTTAGTTGCAATCTGGTATAACTTTTACCAACATTAACTAAACCGAACCGGTTAGAGAGAGAAGAGATTTGTTTAGTTTTAAGACATTTTTAATCATATTTGGACCGGTTTGAACCTGAACCGATTGGATTGGACTTTAATCCACCAGAAATATCCGATTATAAAACGAATCCGAACTAACTAAACCGGACTAATTTGGCCACCCGAACCGAATCGTGGAGGTATGCCGAGAGGAAAATCATTTGTAACATCAGGCGGGAACTGAAGGTCCTAAATCCCGCCAATGAAGACACTTATAACATCGATTCCCGCGCCAAAAGTTCAATGAAATTCCCAATTTCTCTCAGGATTCACGGAGAACCCTAACCCTAACCCTAACTTCCGATTACGAACCGATTCGAAACCTACTCCCCCAAAATTTTCAGGGAAAAAGATGTTGGAACTTAGGCTGGTTCAGGGCTCTCTCCTGAAGAAGGTGCTAGACGCGATTAAGGATCTGGTGAACGATGCCAACTTCGATTGTTCGAGCTCTGGGTTCTCGCTCCAGGCCATGGACTCCAGCCACGTGGCTCTGGTGTCCCTGCTGCTGAGATCCGAAGGGTTCGAGCACTACCGGTGCGACAGGAACATCTCCATGGGAATGAACCTCGGCAACATGTCTAAGATGCTCAAATGTGCCGGTAATGATGACATCATCACCATCAAAGCTGATGACGGTAGCGACACCGTCACCTTCATGTTCGAGAGCCCTAGTAAGTTTTCCCCTATTTCCCTTGATCGATCCAGTATGTTAAACAGACCACTTTAAATTTTTAGGGTTTTTTTTGTGCGTTGAGGAGGACAATGCTTGATAATTTGATGTGTCGACTGAAGCTATAGGTTACTTGATATTGTTAATTGATGGGCTTGTCTAGAGTAGCTTGAGAGACCATATTGACCTTTTTGCGCTTGAAACTAGCAATGAAGATTATCTCAGTTTTGGTTATGTAGCATATTGATTTTGATGTCTGGATATGTGATGGTCGATTACAGCACAAGACAAGATTGCTGATTTCGAGATGAAGCTGATGGATATTGACAGTGAACATCTCGGAATACCTGATGCGGAGTACCACGCCATTGTGAAAATGCCGTCTGTTGAGTTTGCAAGGATCTGCAAAGATCTCAGCAGTATCGGGGACACTGGTACTTAATTCTTTTACCAGTTTCCATTTCGTTTCTGTGATTGCTATGTGAAAAATAATTGGTTGGTGTTTTGTTTTGGAGCATTTCTGATTCATGGTCCTTGCTCTGACCTGTTCTTGTAGTTGTGATATCTGTGACTAAAGAAGGGGTGAAATTTTCCACCAAGGGTGATATTGGGACTGCTAACATTGTGCTCAGGCAGAATACAACTGTTGACAAGGTATGAAGATGGAACAAATTTTTGTGCTTGGTGGTGTTATATGTGCTGAAAAAGTATATAAACTGATTTGAATGCATTGTTGCTCAGTTCTTAAGTAGTGATTGATATGTAAGTTTACATCTTTTCCCCATGATTTTGTAGCCGGAGGATGAAATTGCGATAGAGATGAATGAGCCAGTGTCATTGTCATTTGCATTGAGGTACATGAATTCCTTCACAAAGGCAACTCCATTGTCGGGGACAGTGACGATCAGCTTGTCATCTGAGCTGCCAATCGTGGTGGAGTATAAGATAGCCGAGATGGGTTACATTCGTTTCTACTTGGCTCCCAAGATCGAAGAAGAAGAGGAAGAGACCAAACCCTAAACGCCACAGCCACAGCTTCTACTAGTAATCAACGGCGAAGAACTCCTTGTGATGATATTGTTGTTCTTGTGGGATTCCATTCTGTGTTTTTCCTTGAAGTAGATAACTGCCTTGTTGGAAATTTTGTCTGTCTTTTGTTTTTGCTATGTCAAATGTTAGATTAGATCATCAGAAGCAGAGCACTCTGGCTTGGGTTCTTGTCGTTTGGACAAATCTATTTAGAAAGAGACAAAATGACATTTTACCCTTAGATGTTATAAATATTACATACAAAATTCTACAAAATTTTCTTATTCGAATTCGCTATAATTCATACTGACCCTTGCCCAATGCCCTCCAGTGAATAATACTCCTCAAGGTACTGGATTCCCACTTTAACAGATTGCCCTACACATATATACAAAAAAAAAACTCTATATTAGATTATATTACATTGTGAAACATTAGTTTCTTGGCATCAGACACACTGAAGCTTCTGTGCTAAGCAGAGAGTGTGTTCGACAGAACAAGTATTACATGTACTGTTTTGGTTTATTTATATTACAACAAAGGCACTTGAGGAACCGGTGAAATGGTGGACAGATCCAAAGAGCTTCTTCGCAGCCCCGAAATGGGTGATCCTGTAAACTCCGGCCGACGTTGTCTCGGGTATTCTCCATTCTACCGTTCCCTGACTACGGGAACTCAGCCTTGCCGGCCTCGACCATGTGAACCTAAGACAAAGATCATCGTCGTCATAAACAGGGGTCCATGTCTTGTCATTGCCATCTAGTTTCTCCACCAGCACGAATGTACCTTGTCACGATCAAAATATCGAGTTTAGGGTTTGAATAACACAGCGGAAAATACCCAAGGATTTGCCCGAGGATCTTGTTCTGTTTCTAATTTTTGAGCGAGTTAGATGACGATGATACCTTCTGTCAGTAAATCGTTTCTTGGGCAAGCTGACCAGAACACAACTGTCACCTTGTCTTTTCCCCTTATGAAGGACGAGTTTTCAGGCACATCCGAGATTATGTCTCCAAAACTGACTCCGATAGGGACTGTGTCCATAACGACTGGTGTGAGGAAGCTCAGTTGCTTGTCTAGGAGATCCGGAGGTTGAGGCCCTGATTCAACCGGCTTATCAAGGACAAGTAACTCGGTGAGTTTCTTGAACTCTTGAATGTAGCCACTGAGTGTATGTGGACCATATAACGTGGATGCGCCCTGAGAAAAAAGGTAACCCCCCGATGGGAAAACGCATGTTAGGACAAGACGAAACTGATGTCCTGAAGGATCGGGATGTGATATACTTACTTCGTATCTTTGCACTTGGTACTCCTCAAAAGTGGTCACATACTGCGAGTAGGCATTAGCCAAGCCAGCTATAACAACGTGAATCTCGCCGCTAAACTCTTCATTCCCGCTGCTTTTTAGCTGTGTCTTCACTGCATCTCGGAGACGCCTTCCAGCCATCGTTGTGAATTCTGACCGAACAAAGGAAAGAAAAGGATATATATCATGTCACTGGCCCAACATTGATCTGCAGACATGACAATTGAGGTTGAAGAATGAACCAACTACCTCCAGGAACACTGAGAATGAAAAGCTGTCCAACACGGAGAATTTGCAGTGGAAGAATCGAAGGCTGGAGCAAAGGACAAGTCAGAGAAGGATTCTATGACCATAAACATATATAACAGTAATAAGATTTTCAGTTACAATCTACATACCGCCCAGTCATATGGTTTGGTCATTTCTCCAGTGTCAAGCAAGATCGGTTTCGGGTAGTGACAATTATTTTGTATCATGCCCGGCGTTTTAAGGAGGTTTCTCACTGTCTTCCAGAAAGGGTTTCCCTGATTTTAAAATGGTCGATTTGAGACATCGGATTCATGCAAAACGATTGACACTTCTTGAATATACCAATTACAGACAAGCAAAGACATGGATTTACTGAATACCTGAGAATCTCCTTGTCTAAAATCAAATGCTCCGGGTCCATCTGTGGTTCCAGCGGCAAAAGCAAAGCCCATTGCAGCAGGGCATGTTTTCACCACTTCTGAACCACCTCCATTTTCTTTAAGAGTCACCTCAAGCTGGGAAAAGTCGACGTAAACATGGCGATAATCAACTTTTCCACGTAGCTGCTCGGATGCCTTGTTGAAAAGATCCAGAGCCCTTTTGAATTGTCTCTCACCAATTATACGCGTACTCTCAAATTCATCAGGATAACTGCCAGGTTAAAGCAAAAACGGTCACAAACAGTTCAATTTGTTAGAGATATGTGTTTGCCGTCCAATTATGGAAGAAAGAGAAGTACTTAATGAATACGAAAAACAAGAGAATACCCCGGTCCACGCCCATAGCATAGCTCATTTTTCCCGCCACATGTGCTGTGATTGAAATCACACGAGAGACCAGTGTCTATGCAAAAGGCTCCAAGCACGTTTGGGCTAACATCACCACAGTTCGTCTGACAAAAAGCAGACAGGCATTCCGGACCCGCCTCGCAGAGCTTGAAAGTCTAGTAGCAGGCCTACCGGGCTTTGACTTGAACGAAGAGGCAAGCTCTAGCAACTCATGATCTGCTTCAAAAAAAAAAATTACCGGGATGTAACTTTTGTTCCGTCTTTGGAGACAGGGTGTGTCCATACAAAGGTGTTGAAGACTTACGCTTACGTTGATGATATCCAATTATGCTAGAAACTCTTCTAGGTATTTCATCTGAGTCAAACTCTGCGGAATATGATCCTCCACGAGAATTCTGTTCAAACCAGTCTTCCATTAACCTTGCTGCAGCACCCTTGTTGTCCCCACTAATCAAAGAGTTTGTACGAGACATGGAAGTTCCGTGAGTTGCAAACCAATTGAAGCTACCTACTGAACCCCACTGATCATCAACAAACTTCAAGAGAGTCATTTCTTTATCAACATCGTATTTGTATTTGCTCCTTTCTTCAGCAGG